GAGCGGTGCTGGGTCTGGACGAGAGAGAGATGGGTGAGATGGGTCTGGTAAGAGATGGTGAGAGAAATGTTAGGGTTTTTTGAGTTTTTTTGAGAAATATTAGGATAGATGTATAATTTTTTCTCGTAAATATTATTTTTTTTTTAGAAATATTAGGATAGATGTATAATTTTTTCTCGTTAATATTATTTTTTTGAGAAAGTAAATAACACCTTATTATATGAGTTTATGATTACTCTAAAATATGGTAATGTAAAACTTATAGATTTCTCTTTTTTGAGTTTTAAAAAAATTTAATAATCATACTAAATATGGTAATATGAAAAATTTTCATTTTTATTCTTGAAATTACCTCATACCAAACGTTTTTTTTAAAGAGAAGAGACAACTCAGATTTGGACTTGAAGAAATATTCTTAGGCCTCGTTCATTTTACGGATTTGAGTTTTTAATTCGAGTTAAGATATGATATTTTTTTAGAGTTTTTCACTGTAGCAGAAAATTTTAATGTGACATTTTTTTAGAGTTTTTTATTATAAAAATTTAAAACTGAAAATTTAAATCGGTGAAATGAACGAAAACCTTAATTTTAGAAAATTTGTTGAGGAACCAGAGAATTTATTCTTAGACTTGATAAGCTTTCTCAGTTGGAAAAAATGATGGCGATCTAGAATCAAACTTCCACGTTAGGAGTAAGACTCGTGACATAATCCCTAGTTCCAAGAGCTCCCAATTTCTGTTTTCAACGTAAAGATAAGAGTACACTCTCGAGTCCCAAGCAAGAAAAATATTATCTGAGGCCCTGTTTATTTTGTTGATTCGAGTTTAAAATTTGAGTTTTATTACAGTAAATAGTTCTCACAAACAGTTACATCTAATTTTTTTACTATAATAAAAAACTCTCATATAAAATCATATCTCAACTCAAATCAACGAACTAAACGGGCCATGAGTTCATCGTTATCATTATAATTATTATACTTAAACGAATGTTTTAATCATAAATCAATAGACACTGGACACGAGAAATGCTAACCAATGAGACTATCCATTCTTCACCATTTATCACGTACCATTATCACATTGATCAACGGTTAGAAAAAGACAATCGTATTCCATGGGACTATCCTAAGTTAAATTAACAAGTTCTTTTAAGTTTTCTAGACTTTTTCACTTAGACGTGATTTTCGAGAAACTATAATTGAGGAACTTAATGAGTAATTTTTTTATCTCTTCAAGTACTATAAAAGGGTTCGAGTCTAATTGAGTAAATTTTAAAATGATCTATCGATCAACCATATTTAAATACCTTATAAAATAAACAAACACTAAAAAGCAAAAATTAAAACTAATAAAACAAAATAAAAATTACATAAACAATCTAATTAAAAACAAACAAAAGTAAAGAAGCAAAATAAAAATCAATAAAAAATAAAGAAACAATCTAATCAAAATTAATAAAATAAAGTAAACAATCAAATAAAAAGTAGATAAACAAAATAAAATTAATCCTATATCTAATTAAAAGTAAATAAATGCCTAAATTAAAATCAAGCTAGTTACTCGCAATATTAGTAACAACGTCAAAAACTTGTTCGCCCACAAGTGTACGGTATCAAGTTTTGATAGTATATGATGAATGGTATTGTCTCCACAGGGTTTGAGTATTAAATTGTTACTAAGTACCACGATTATCGTAACTCAATTTGATCTAGGCAACTGAACTTAATGAAATATAAAATTTTAGAACAAATATAAATACAAAAAAGTAAACAAAATATAGAAATTTCTATGCACAAATGTACTAAGAACTCGACTTCACCTTATCATTTCTGTGTTCACCCTGATAAGTCATTGCAAGCCAATTTCACTCAATTCATTAATCAAGTATAATGTTGATTAAAAATTTTTTTTTGACCCCCCTATGAATAAATCCCGACACCGTCATTGGTTGAATGTGAAAAAAAAATGTTTATTAAGTAAAAGAATTTGAATTGTGAGGCGACATCATATGGTAAAATCGGAAAACACGGTTAAAATGAATGCAACTGAATTTATAGATTTTCTTTTAATAAAACAATCGTACCAACAAAATCTTCCTTTAAAAGAAAAAACAACAAAGGCCTTATTCATACCTTTTGGAGTTCGAAATCCGCACTTTTAATTGAATTGCTACAGTTAAGAATATAATGACAATAGACTCTCAATCAACTGCAGTTTTTTGTTATTCTTCACGATTAGAATGTGAATGGGCACATGTTGTGCAATCTACTCTTGAAACTTTCTCCTTTAAACCACAAGAGAATAAAATAAAATAAAATAAAAAGTCAATCTTATGGTTTGATCGATTTTTCCTCTTATTACACCCTTACTATAGCCTCCCGTAAAACTTAAAATTTAAATTTTTTTTATTTTTTTATATATGCAAATAGATGTAAACAAACAGAAACAAACGAAAAATTACTCACACCCTCAAAATTAAGATTTTGCTAGTCCTCAGATAAAAGATAAGAAAAGAAACTAAAATAAACTAGAGGCATATCTTGCACTAAAATGGTGATTTCCAAAGAATTCCTTAAAAGGTTGCCAAAATAACGTAGTTTAGATAAAAATACAAACATCGGCAAAGCGTTGAGATTAATTTAAAAGAATGCTCCACTCTTAATTGGATTTCTATGCGCGCGTAGCCTTAAAATTTCCTTACATGCAATCTAGATACGTTTATGCAAACATGGAATAAACAAAGAATTAATCTCACCGAGTGAACAAGTCTCATTAGTTTTTTCTTTTCATATAATGCAAACAAACCCATCACAAGAGGCCTAAGTTAGGCCGTCCGACCGGATCTGAAATTTTATAAGGTATTTTCAAAAATATCTTTAAAAATATGTATTTGGGCTGGGTTGGCCCGACCTTAAATAAGATAGGGTCGGCCCAACCCGACTCTAAGCCCAAAAAATTTAGAACTGGACCCAAGTCAACAGTATCGGGTCTTAAACCGGCTCGTTTAGCTTGGCCCAAACTTACAGCTCTACCATCACTAAAAGTCATTAAAACTTCACTACACTTGTAATGTATTACAGCTTAGGTTTAAGGTAGGATATGTTAGCATTTATGCTCTAACGAATAAATGTAGTAATGTTTACAGACATTTTTATATCAATACAAAATTATTTATTTATTTCATGCATCAGTATCTTTCTCTTTATATTCATGCAAGTGAAATATATATTAGACAAACTGTAGCATGAGACTATCATTTTAAGCATTTAGATCGTGCATATAATGAGTAAAATATGCAAGAGACATGAAACTAAAGATGATTGTCTAAATCATAATGGTCTTCAATCGATGTAATATAGTCGGGCCTTTATTCATTTTATGATTTTGGAAAATTATAGAAAATAGGACTATATTGAAAACTTATGTTAATAAATAACCAATTTACTAATGTATAAAAATTAATAAGCCTTTTTATTTTTTGAATTTTTCATTTTCTAATTTTACCCTTTTTCTTTATATTTTTCTATTTTTTTCTCTTTCC